AACTTAGCCATTCTAGAGAGTACATGGTGGTATCTCATTGCGGTTTTAATTTGCATCTCTCTGATGACTAATGGTGTTGAGCATTACTGTATCTTTATTTTGTGAACTGGTTTCTCAAATCTTTTGCCCTTTCCTCCACCTTTTAAAAAGTACAGCCAGTCCCCAACTTACGATGGTCTGACTTATGATTTTTCGACTTTCCCGTCGTGCAAAAACAACTGGCATTCAGTAAAAACCGTACTTTGAATGTTGACTGTGGCTCTTTTTCTGGGCTAGCATAGATCCTCTCTTGTGCTGCCGGGCAGTGGCAGCGAGCAGAGCTCCCCGTCAGCCACGCCGTCACAAGAGTGAACAACCGGTGAACTTGCAACCATTCTGGACCCAGACAACTATTCTGTTTTCCCTTTCAGTACAGTATTTGATGAATTATGTGAGATATTCAGCACTTTATTTTGAAATAGGTTTTGTGTTAGATGATTTTGCCCAGCTGTAGGCTAATGTTAAGTGTTCTCAGCACGTTCAAGGTAGGCTGGGCTAAGCAGTGATGTTCGGTAGGTTCGGGGTATGAAATGCATTTTTGACTTATGATATTTTCAGTTTATGATGGGTTTATCTGGACGTAACCCCATCATAAGTTGAGGCAGATCTGTAGTTTGCTTAGTTCGTTGAGTTTTTTTTTTTTTTTTTTAATGTATACTGGATATAAAGCATCTGTCAGATATATGTATTGCACATACCTTCTGGAATCTTGGCTTGCCTTTTCATTTTCTTATTGGTGTGTTTCAAACAGCAGAAAATTTTAATTTACATGAAATCCAATTAATGTGAGTGTTGGTGTTTTGTGTCTTTGGCATCCTATCTAAGGAATTTTGCCTAAGCCATGATTATAAAGATTTTCTTTAATGTTTTCTTCTGGAACTTTTATATCTTAACAGTGTTGTCTTCTAATACATAAGCACGTATCTTTCCATTTATTTAGGTTTTCCTTAATTTCTCTCAGCAGTGTTTTATAGTTTTCAGTGTACAGGTCTTAAACATATTTTTTAAATTTGTCCCTAGATATTTTGTGGGTTTTTTTCAATACTATTTTTAAGTGGTATTGGTTTTGATTTTGATTTTATCAGTTGCTTGTTGCTAGTATATAGTCATAGAATTGATTCTTGTACATTGACTTTGTATTCTATGACATTGCTAAGTTCATTTATTAGTTCTAGTAGTTTTTTTTTTTTAAATGAAGCTTTAGAATTTTCTGTGTCATGTCGTATGTAGATAAACAGCTTCACTTTGTCCTTCCCCATCTGTATGCCTTCTTGCCTTACAGCTAGGACTTCCAGTATAGTGTTGAATAGGAATTGTAAGACGGGGTATCCTTGTCTCATTCCCAATCTTAGGGGGAAAGTATCCAGTCTTTTTACTATTAAATATCGTGTTAGCTGTATGGGGTTTTTTTGTTTGTTTTTGTTTTGTAGATGCCCTTTATTAGCTTGATCCTAGGTTCTTGAGAATTTTTATCATGAATAGATGTTGAATTTTGTTAAATGTTTTTTCTGCATCTGTTGATATGACCATGTGGTTTATTTATCCTTAGTCTGTTAATATGATGCATTATTACATTAAGTGATTTTCAGATATTGAGTCAGCCTCACGGTTTCTGGATACCCTCACTTCGTCAGGATGTAGTATCTTTCTTATATATTACCTGATTTGTTAATATTTTGTTGCGAATTTTTTGTTTATGTTCATAAGACATATTAGTGTGCAGTGTTGAAATACCTTTCTAGGCCCAAGATGGAGCTGCTCCTGCCTGGGTGCCACATCAGCAAACCAAAACTTAGGTAACTTTCGTGCCCATAAATTCTTCCCTTGACCAGAAAGGCAGTATATCCAGTCAGCCCATCCCCAAATGCCAAACCAACTCTGGGCTTTATACAGTTGGTCCTTTGTATCCACAGATTCCACATCCTCAGATTCAACCAACCTCAGATCAAAAATATTTGAAAAAAAAATTCCAGAAAATTCCAAAAAGCAAAACTGGAATTTGCCATTCCAGCAACTATTGTATTAGGTATCATAAGTAATCTAGAGCTGATTTAAAGTGCACAGGAGGATGTGCATAGGTTATATGCAAGTACTGTGCCATTTTACATGAGGAACTTGAGCGTCCATGGATTTGGGTATCCTCAGGGGGAGGGGGAGGGAAGGGTCCTGGAACTGATCCTGAGCGATGACTTTTCTTGATCCGTGTTCTTTATCATATAAAAAGCTTCCTGCCTTCCACTCCGTTTTGCCGGTCTCCAAATGTAGATTGTCCCCTTCATGAAGTGTTAAAGTTTGTATCACCTAACTTGTCTTTTTAAATTATTTTTTTTTTAGGAGTAGTTTGCTTTTCTTGTAGTTTCTTTATCTGGTTTTGTATCAGGATAATGCTGACCTCATAAAACAAGTTGGGAAATGTTCCTTGCTTCTACTTTATGGAAACACTTGTGTAGAATTGATCTGTTTGTTCCTTAAATGTTTGGCAATGAAACCATCTGGGCTGTGTCCTATCTTGATCACATTCTAGCTGCATATCATTCCCAAGAAAGCTGTCTCTTAAGTAATGATCTGTAGCCATGTAAGTCCAGAAACTTCTGTCAAGTGCAACCAGAATCGATTTGACTCAAGGGACTGCCTCACGCTAATCAAATGAGACTGATTTTTTAAGCCTGAACTGAGCCAGGCGCTATAACAAGTGTTTTATATTAACACTACTTTATGTATTCTGTAACCTAGAATCCCAGTAATTACCATGAGGGACATATCTCTCCAGTAACCAAAATATTTGTGTCCTCCATGGAGAGCAGGGGTTCAGCACAGTACTGCCCTGGGCCAGGTTCAGCTTGCCGCTTGTTTTGTTTGTTGGAGCACAGCTATGCATGTTCGCTTATGCGCGGTCTAGGATGCTTTGTGCTACGACAGCAGGTAAGTGAGTAGCCGTGACAGACTGTGTAGCCCACGAAGCCTAAAATATTTACGTTCTGGCTCTCTGGCCACTTACAGAAAAGTTCGCTGACCCCTGATCTAGAGCAGTGATTCTCAACCCTGGCCACATACTGGAATCACCTGGAGAACATTTGAAAAACTACTGTTGTCTGCCTCCCACTCCCAGCAATTCTGACTTGGTTGGCCCGGGCTGGGACCTGGGCATTGGCGGTGTTTAAAACTCCCCGGCAGTTCTGCCCAGCAGCCAAGGCTGAGAACCACTGGCCTAAAGTAAGGCTTGGTATTTGTCTTTGTTTAACTGCCCGCCCATGCTGATTGTCTGAGTGTGCATTTAGGAATGAGAAGCACTTATCTAGGGCAGTAGTTTCCAGATCTGAATGTGTGTCTGTCACCTGGGGAGATTTTTTTTCATAGATTCTAAGACCCCACTCCAGACCAAGTGAATTAGAATCTCCAGAGATTTTTAAAAAATTCCTCAGGTGGTCCTGAGACACAGACATTTCTTTAAGAAAGACTGAACTTAGGGCACCTTATTGTTATTAGCAAGATTTTTGGATACTGAGTGAGTAACCAGAGGATTATTTAGTGAGCATAGGAGTGGAGAAAAGGGGTTCCTTGTGTTGTGCAGTACAGGCTATGGAGGATCCTACTGAATAGTCCAGCCTCATAGAAACGGAAATACACCCTCCCGAGTGATGAAAATATTTATTTCTGTTAGCTGTGGTATACCTAACCGCCCTTGTACAGTCCTAGATGAAAGGAACATGTTTTTCCTTTTGGTTCCTCTTTATATAGATGCCATAAAAACAAGTCATCCATTAATATTCTTTGTTCAGATAGTTAGATAATCAGTCACATTACAGGAGGTTAGATAATAGCTTCCCCTCCACCCCTGCCACCCCATGTCTTGGCTAAATACCCCCATCAGCTTGCATGCTTCTCTAGGCTCCTGGCATCCCATTTACTAATTATCGCTTAGGACAGACTCTTTGGAGATGGCTAAGCCCGTTCATGCTGTGTTCTTACCCTGGGCTACCCCAGTCCAGTCCCCTTATACACTTACTGCATCTCAAATGGTCTTTGCTCAACTGAGAAACTATCTGTTAATCCTCCCACTGTATTAAACATTCCCATGTGTGTTCTCTTCACTTCAGGTGGAATGTGTAAAATCAGGGAAGGTTGAGCTGGAAGGGACTTTGTTATAGACCTTATCTAACCTCAAAAAAGTCAATCTTATGGGCAGTTAGTTGGGTAATGGTAGTGCTTATGTGTTTGGGGGGGCACTTTATACTCTTCTTGATACAATTCTCAATATTGGATTTATAATCTGTCACACCCTTCTGTGAAGAACCTCAGCAGTGCCAAATCCATCTGTGTGTAATACTGTTGCTTAGTGGTAGCTGAATAACCATGGTCAGGTGAAGCCTGAGACTTGCCTTCCTTGTCCATAAAATGGGAAAAAGGAAGATCTGCTTTGCAGGGTTATTAAGAGGGTAAAATAACTTGACATAGCATTTTGTAAACCATAAAGTACTTTTTCTTTTGTTCTGGGAAGAGCATTGTACAGGAAGTAAAACAAAAATCAATCCGTCAGTCAATCTGAGAATAGCCCAGAAGACATTAGCTAAACCTGAAGGGAATGGTCTTGGAAAAAAGAATTTCCAGTCTTTTAAATTGTGAGTGCTATTTGCTGGTCAAGCAATCATTGATTACCTTACAGGAAAAAGCCGTAAACAATGTTATGAAACAGAAGACTACCTACTTTCAAGAGATTACAAAGGAGTTAATCAGCTAGGTGTACTTCAAGACATTTGTGTTATTATATATGGAAACTTAGAAAATGGGAGATATTGAAGGACCTGTGAAAATACCATAAAATATAAATGCATATGGGCTACATATTTTTCAATTTATTTGCAAGGCTGGCTTAATGACTATGGCATGGTATCAGTGGTTACTCTCATAATGCATTATATATAGCTTTAAATGATTTTTACAAGTGAAAACAAAACTCTGTGTTCATTTAATTCAAATTTTATTGTGGATATAATGAGGAATCAAAGATTGTCCCTGTCCTCAAGGTGCTCATTGTCAAGTAGGGGAACAGACATTACAAGACAAGGGAAAATGCTTGGATGGCAGTACCCAGAGAGCTGTGGGGGCCCTGCAGGGACGGGGGTGGGGGGGTGGAGGTGGGCAGGAGGGGAGGGTAGAAATGTTCGGAAGGGACACGGAGGAAGCGGAAGCAATGCCTTGGCTGAGACTTAAAAGTTTCAACGTAGGGAGGGAAGAAGGCCCAGTGGAACCTTGTGTGCAGACAGGAGGCAGGAGAGGATGCGGTGTTTTCAGGGACCATGGTGGTCCCAGGATGAGTATAAGGCAGTAAGAGATGGATACCCTTTGACAGAAAGAAGGAGTGAATATTGACTCTATAAGTACTAGTTACTTTACATCATGATTGCCTGTTTACTCAGTTTTTACATTTCTGTAGGAACTATTTGTAATCTCTTTTTTCAGTCACCCCTGTGTTACTTATGGAAATATTATCATGCCTGTCACTGATGAAACATATTAGGAAAAGTGAAAATGTATTCATTAAAGTGCTTCCCTTTGAAGGATATTGCAGCTACTGAGAGCTTTGACTATCACTAACACCTTGATGGGCTCTAAAAAACAAAGCATTACCCAAGTAGAAGAAAATTATATTATGAATACTTGAAACTTCTATCATTCTCCTATAAGCGACTGACATCGTAATTTTCAACAGTTATGCCTTCAAAATCTTTGAGAGGGGTCAAAAAGTCATTTTGCAGATGAAGAAACTGAGTCAGACAAAGAGTTCTTCTTGGTCTTAATGTGAGAGACTGGAGTATATCAGGGAGATTACTGCTTTTGATTGTATCAGATTTCTTAGTCCCATTTTATACCGATAAGTTTCAGTTTCTTTGGTAAATCCCAAAGTGGGAGGTGTCTTGAGATTTGTTCTTTTATCTACTGGGAATATGTCACGTGGTCTTCATAAAGTGCTCAAAGTGCACGGTGCTGTAAGAAGCTAGAGCAGCAACTATTTCTGACTGTTTAGTTTAGAAGAAAGGACTTGCAGCATTGATTATTCATGAAGTACTGATTGTGGAGCTAGTTTATATCCTTCAGAAGTCAAGGGTATATGATATGAGCATTTGGATTTTTTTTATTCACAATTAATCATCTGTCTGAAGTGTCTTCGCTGGATTCTTCTTGTATAAGAAGGACATAGCTTCCCGCATTCCTGCTGATGCACTTGACAGCACTGCCAAAGCAAATAAGACATCGATTAAGGCAATACATAAATAATAAATAATCTGTATTCCATCTTTTCCCTGGTTACATGGCTTTTAATAAATTACACAAAGAAGGAGGATACTGGTATTTTGAATCTAACAGGCTTGTTATGCATAGCTTTCTGAAAATAAAAATTAAAAAAATCTACATGAGTTCTTCCCCTTCCAGATCCCTAAAATGTCCATCTGTCCCATTGTCTCCACCACATAGTCCACATAAAATAGTTGTAACTAAAGCTATTACTGAAGTTCATGTTTAATACCTATAACTGAAGCTAGGATAGAAGACATCAGGAAATAATGAAAATAACCTGCAATTTTAATTTTAAAAATATTGAACAGATTAAAAAAAAAATCTCAGAAGACCAACTACATTTACACTAGATGCATTATTAAAAGCACAATGACCTTTAATCTCTCTGCACTGATTTTTCCAATTATAAAAGTTATATGTGTTCATAACAGAGTATTTATAAATATATGAAGAATAAAATTAACATGACCCATTATTCTACTTCCCATGTAATACAGTTCTTACTAAAGTCATTGTTCATGATACGGATGCACCATCCTTTACTTAACCATTTCCTGTTATTGGCCATTTTGGTCATTAAAATATTTTTTGTCATAATGAACTTGTTTATATATAAATTTTTGACATTTCTGATCATTTCCTCAGGATAGGATTCTCAATGGGATCACTGGTTCAAATACCATGAATTTTTTTGGGAAGCTTTTGATACATGTTCATGAATTGCTTTCCAAGAACGATAATGCCGAATAACACTACTCCCAGCAAAGTATAAGGCTGATGGTCTCATCACGTGCTCACTAGCAAAGCATGGAGTTTTAATTTTGCCAATTCAATAGGTGATAGTCTCCTTTTCAAAAGATACCTAGTAAAAATAGCTTTTCATCACAGTTACAGAGGAACCGTAAATACTATTGTAGTCCTCCTAACACAGATCTAGGTATCAGCATCCCACTGAGACAGTATGTACTGAGGTCCTACTCTGAATAAGACGCAGGCCAGCCCTTTAAGGAGTTCACAGCCATGGCAGAGTTTAAAGCCTGTGTGGATAGATTCTGTTCTCCCTCCCACGCAGCCACAGCCCACAGTGCTTAGGGGAAGGCAGATGCCAGACCCTGTGCCCCACCTTCTACCCATCCCCATCACCCTGCTCTGCGGCAGCCGTGTGAAATGGGCAAGCCCAGCAGAGGCAGGTTAATGAGCTCTTAGCTCAATGCTTGGGCCCCAGAGAATGTGTCAAATATATTTGCTTGTGCGTTTTCACAACCACTTATCTAGTTGGCTTACACATTTTGTTCATTGAAAGGGACAGGGAGAATACATATTTCTTGTAAGTTTATGCCTCTGGTCTTTTTATTCTATGTACTATTCACAAATAGAATTTTGTAGTTTGTATTTACTTGGATATTTACATTTGAAAAGGAAATCATCAAATAAGCCAACTCTCTGTAAAGGAAAGAGAATTCTTAATATCCAGTGCATGCTATCTGCTCTTGTCATTTACCCAAGGATCTGTATTAAAGTATATCTTCTTAGAGTAATCTGTGACCTTCAGGGGATATTATACTGTAGGAAGTCATTGTTTGAATGTATATATATGTATATACATATTCATAGAATATATGTGTATTGAATATACATATGAATATATATGTACTGATAATACATATATATTCTTAGACACTAAATTCATCAGTTGTTCATATTTAAAGATAAGGGGTAACTTCTCAGAGTCTCTGTCTAACCCAGTGTTTCTTTCTCTTAGTCCTGGTTGGCCACACCACTGTCTCTTTCTTTCTAAGTCTCCAAAATTATTGACAGATGTCTTCATGTCTAAAAGTTCTTGAGAAAAGTACATTCCAAGGCAAAACTTCAACAGATCTATGTAATTGCACTGGTGAGGTCAGGGAATTCAATCCATCTATCCTTTGATAAAAGGATAAAAAGTAATGACATACCATAGACTGATGGCTGGAATTAGTAATAAAACAGCGGAGAGCAGAAAGACGAAGCCTTTGTACCAAGCAACAGTGGCTGAATAAATTCCGTTGAAAGTAGAAACCGCAGTGATTCCGCCAAGTGTTTCTAAGAAAGCGAGACAAGCGAACATGGTGCCTGTTTGGGGTCAGGGTGTGGAGGGAGAGAGAGAAAAGGCTGAGTTACAAAACAACAAACAAAAATAATGCAGAAAATGGCTACTCAGTGAAAAGTGCAGCCCTGGGGGCACTGCTTGGTGAAGGAAAGCTACTCCCTCAAAATCCCTGAGAAGGCAGTCACCCGTTTTGTGGGTGAAGCAACGGAGCTCAGGAGTTCTCCCTGGACCTGGTGTGAGAGGAGCTGGAGTCAGTACTTCCAGGGTCCGTGCGGCAAAGCTAAGAGGCACTGGAAGCTGAGGCGTGTGGAATCTGCCGCATCTCCCGTCCCTGCTACAGCCTAAGACGCAGCCCCACCTGCCCCTGAGGTTCGTGGTGCCACCTTCCACTCTCAGTCCCTGCGCTAATCTGGGACACACCTGCAGGGGCAGGATGGCTCCCAGGCAAGCAACGTCCCACCCACCGGCCCTCTGAAAGGTCAAGTCAGATCTGGCAAGAGTGACAGGCAAGGCAGAGAGATAATCTTCTTACCATACATTCTGCAATTTGAATTTGCTCTCTTCCTCCAGAGTAACAAAAAGTTCAGTCACACGAGATTCCTGTGTGACTCATCAAGTAACTACATAAGTGCCCGGTGCTCTAGTGAAGGTTATGCCACAGTCTGACATTGAGTGATTCTTTAAAACGTATTTTTCTGTCTTACGTGCTTACAACTGGCTCCCCTCTGAGGGGACTCTGCTGTCCTTCCCGCTTGCCACATGCCGAGTGTGGGAAAGGGCAGGCCATGGAGCATTGCTTAAGAAGCCTGAAATGGCTGCATGGTCGGCCCAAGCTCACAATCAGAGAAATGGTCATTATTCTACAAGTTTTGAATTTAGTCTGGAATCCAAGACCATACTGACTGAAGAGTGAAACTTACGAAAGACAGCTGGTCATCTTGATGTGCTTTTTTTCCTCTTTGTCAAATTCTGCATCACTACAATTGTGGCTGTTCTCAGCTCTCTGTGGCTTCCGTGGCATAAGTTCCTACGTAGTTTCTGCAGACTCTTAAGCCATTGCTTGTTCCCTACTTTGCTAAGTTTACTTTTCCATGACAAATTGTAATATATTTTTCTTACAGACAGTGCAAATCCTCTAAATAATTGTGTTTGATTGGACTGATAGGAAGGAAAAGGGCAAGCTTGAGGATCTAGCTTGGTTATAGTTTACACGTCTAGACTTTAACTTTCCCCATGGTCTTGATCTTTTAGACTGTGTATTGACTTTTATCTATTTAAACTTTCACTTTATTATACATATTCTCATACATTGCTTCAAAGTCTTCACTGAACAACGGGACACATGTTCATAAAACAAACATCTCTATGCAGAATGCTGGGTTATCAGAGATATGTCTTCTTTTGACCAAAATGAAAGTTCTGTCAATGTCAAGGGCACATATGCTTTTTTCACTGCTGTGTCCCCAGGGCGTAGCTGTGCTGGCACCTGGTAGACATTTAATATATATTTGTCAAATGAATGAATAAAAGCTTCATTCAAGGGCAATTACCAGTCATCAAGCAGCATATGGACTTACTGCCTCTATGATTTATGACAGTACAGGAAGTTAGTTTAATTGGAAAGAAGTTCTCCTAGTTATGTATCTACGTTATTGTTTCATTTTATTTCTGATCCCTTGCTACAGCCGGGGACGGGTGGTATGGTGCTAATCCTATTATGCAGCCGCTTGAGTCCTTTCTTGTTGGGAACTCGGTCAGGCCTTGCTGTGTTCTGACAAACAACCATCTCATGAAGTAGCTCTAGCTTGTTGCTGAACTTCCCTGAGCAGCACAACTTATGATTACTTCATTTCTTTTTAGTGCGAAATTATATTCCGTTGGACAGACACACCTCATTTTGTTTATTCATCAGTTCATGGACATTTGCATTGTTTATGCTTCTTGACTGTTACAGATAATGCTGCTGTGAACGTGTGTGTACAAGATTTTGTGTGGACATGTGTTTTCATTTCTCTTTGGTATATACCTAGGAGTGGAATTGCTGAGTCATAAGGTAACTCTGTTTAACTGTCTGAGGAGCTACCAAACTGTTTTGTAAGACGGCTGCACCATTTTACACTCCCACAGCAGCGTATGAGGGCTCCAGTTTCTCCACATCCTCGCCAACACTTCTTATGGGCTTTTTCATCTTGGCCATCCTGGTGGGTCTCACTGTGGTTTTGATTTGCATTTCCCTGATGGCTAATGATGTTGAGCACTTTTTCATGTGTCTGTTGGCCATTTGTACATCTTTGGGGAGATGTCAGTTCAAATCCTTTGCCCATGTTTTAATTGGATTTTCTTGTTATTGCTGAGTTTTAATAGTTTTTATATATTTTGGATACAAGTTCCTTATCAGGCGTACGATTTGCAAATATAGTCTCCCATTCAGTGGGCTGTCTTTTCACTTTCTTGATGGTGTCCTTTGAAGCATAAAAGTTTTTAATTTTGATAAAGTCTAATTTATCTATTTTTTCTTTTTTTGTTGTGCTTTTGGTGTCGTATCTAAGAAACCATTGCATAATTCAAGGAAGCAGGTAGGTTTTTACATACTGTAGTTTTAATATTCCTAAGTGGTTTTCCAATTAATCCTCATCACACAATCTATAAACAGCTGTGTGAATATGTGCTACATCTTATGAGTGGAAAAGAATCAAGAAATGTATTTTCAGCCTTATTGAATTATGCAGTCTTCTCCAGTGTTGACTAAAGGGCCATAAGTACAATAGCATAATTATGAATTATTCATAAACACTTGATATGAACATTTGCACCAGGCTAAGACATGGAACAAAAGAAAGCTCCAAGGTCTCATAATATTCATATGATCAAAGCAAAAGGAGGTCAACCACATATGCCTAGTATCTAACAAGTACCCAGTCCTAACTAGAGATTTAATTTTTGTTTTCCTTCTGTACTGGTCATTCTCTGTCCTCCCCTTCAGCTGTTGGATCTTCTGTGCCCTGCTCTGTGCTCGGGAGGCTGACCCCACAGATATTATGACTTGGACTTCCTTGGACTTGGTCAGTGGGGTCCCGGAGGAGAAGGCTATGCAGTTTCTTCTCTGCTCCCTCCCTCCTTGGGCCGTCCTCTCCTCTGTGCTGCCCTTCCCTGAAGTCTCTTGATTGAATCAGCTGAGTGGGATGCTGTTTTTTCTGGGACTCTGACTCAGGCCCAGCTCTGACATTTGGGGGATCCAGCGTAAGAATACAATTAGAAGCCTACAAGTTCTAAGTATTTAAAAGTTATAATTCTGGGAGTTCCCTAGTGGCCTAGTGGTTAGGATTCTGGGCCTTCACTGACGTGGCCTGGGTTCAATCCCTGGTCGGGGAACTGAGATCTCGTAAGACGTGTGGCACAGCCAAAAAAAAAAAAGTTATAATTTTGACTAACAGACTGTTAACTAAGGTAGGTCCTGTCTCCCTGCTCTGAGAAAATACCTTCCTAATGATTTGGAGGTCAGACACAAACTTAGAATTCTCAGACGTTTTAGAGTTCCATGTGGAACATGACAGCCCTGGGAGAGCTGGCCCTCACCCTCCAGTCCCCAGCCTGCAGGCTGCAGCCACCCACATCGTATTCTACCTCTTGTTCTGCTCAGAAAGGGCCATTTACACGTGGGTGTAGACACCCCACCCTGCGATTCCAAGGTTGGGCCAGACCCTCCTGTCAAGAGTCACCCTTTGGCTACCCCTTTGGTGTACAGGAGAGCACACTGGGGTCACAGTCTACCCTCAGGAGAACAGGTCTGAGAAAGAGGATCATCAAGGCATTCACTGGATATGAGCTGTTCAGCTGGGAGTTATGGGGACCCACGTACACGTACCCAGAGCGTAGCCTAGAAGGGGGGAGTGTTGTGGGCTCCCGGGGGCATATCGCCTGGCCCTGAGGTCTCCCCTCCCCTTGGGGCGGGGCAGCTCCAGAGAAAGCCCTCTAAAGCACCGGGCCCGGGCAGGGGCTCCCCTGCTTGAGTATAAGCTCTCCTAACACAGCCCCTACCAATTCCAAAGGAGTTCTGTGCAGAAAAAGGGCTGTAGAATATCCTGAAGAATCAAACACTGATTGTACACAGATACGAGTTGGTACAGATCACAGATTCATTCTGTTCCTTAAGCAAATTAAACTCACCTTGTTCAGTAGAACGAACCACTTTTGATATCATGGACCGTAGAACAGAGAATGGCACAACAGTGAAAAGGAATGGCAGCCTGACTGTGAGAGGAATAGTTGGAAATTACTGGCTGAATCAGAAAACTAAGGGTCCATTTTAAAGGTGGAACACTTAATCTCTAAATACTTCATTTTCTATAAGCATCTTAACTCATTGCATCTAACGGATGAATTAATTAATGGTAGAATTCTGTTTAATGAATTAAGATAGACTATAGACACGTCAGTTTAAGATTACTCTCAAGTTTAAGTTTACTCTTAAATTCTTATTCTAGTGCAGAGAACAAGAGTTCATGGAAGTTACAGGTCCAGATCTATATAATCTGCCACTTGAAATGGATCTGTTTCCCTAGTTATTAGAGTAACGTCATGTTTAGCAGGTTGCGACTGTTAATAAATTTTTTGTTTTCTGTTTTTGCTCTTTCAGACTTGGCATTCTCATCGTTAAAATTCTTTTATTATATTGATCTACTTATTGGTAAATTGGTTTCTTCTTCATCTTTGTGGGTGAATAATTTCACGAACACAAGTTGCCTCTGCTCTTAAATTATGTCCCTTAATAGTAGCATTTTTAGTTATATGACAAAATGGTAAGATATTACATTTGCAGACCAATTTATGTTTTCATCATGTTTTCACATATATTAACTTACTTGGAGTTGGCAACTCCAAGGGAAACAGGGAGGGAGAACTGGCATTTACTGAACCCTTGGCATTGCGCTAAGTGGTTTACAGTTATCTCTTCTAATATTCGTTATAACCCTCTGACTTAGGTACCACTATGCCCATTTTATAGATGAAAAAACAAGGGCTCAGAGTAGTTCAGTAACTTGCCCAAGGTCACCTAGTGCTGTAGATGGAAATTAAGCCCAATTCTGTTTGGTCACTCTGCTTCCCTGCAAGGTAGCAAGAGGTTAACACTGCCTTTGTAGAAAAAGACTAAATTGGATCTTTCTTGAGGTCCCACTTTAACAGATCCTTTAACCCTTTCAAACACAGTATCTCACTCAAGCCCTAGTTAAGGAAGCAGTCCTATTTGCCAGAAAGTGATTCCTCAAAAGCCAATTCATGAAATGACCAATTTGCTGAAAGATCAATTTGCAAAATCTTCTTGAATATATTCAATGAATTTTTTTAATGTATCTTTTGAGTATACTTTAGACACTTGTCTTAAAATTGTAGCCTTCTTAGCATCATTTTAAGAAATATTCAAGTTGGTGAATGCTATTTTGAAGGACTGATTCACAAGAAGAATGTTCCTCAAAACAATTTTTTGGCAAATGTGCAAATTTGGAAAATTGTGGTTATTCAACTTTTTTTTTTCTTTAAAGTCAGTTGGTTTTCAGCTTCTGGAAAGCTAGCTTTAAACAAATTACCTTTACTTGAACTAAAATGCATTAAATAGAGAATTTTATATTAAAGTTTCTCACCCAACAGACTAAATTCATTTTATGTAAACATCAATACACAGTTCTAGGCTACATTTGTAACTTACCTAAAAACATCATCAATGTTGTTCTGGCAAAAGCAGTCATAGCCATTCCTACCATGGTGGTAAAAATTCCAATGAAGGCCATGTGAATATCTTCCATACAATAAGAAAAAAGCCATATTCCTAGGAAACTGCTGAAAAAAGAGACACTACCCAACGCTGATCCATAACCTATTAAAACTTCATCCCAGCAGAGCGGTGAATCCAATTCATAAAGGATAAAAATGGGGGAAATGCCAGCTGTCACGAAAAAATAAGTGATCATTGTAAAAAGCAACAAACAGAGCAAAGATCGTTGCTCACCAGAATTATTTTTAAAAAGCATGTAAGTTCGGTAAAATAAGTTTTTAAAGCCTTCAGTCCATGATACAGAAACATTCTGAGATGAAGGCTCTTTCATCGAATCCTCAAGAAAGAATAAAATATAAATCAAGTTAACAGTAAGAGCCATAGTAGCAATTAAAAACGACCACACAAAACCTAGTTCTCTAATAAAATAGCCAGACGACAGTCCTGTTAATCCAGTGACAATTCCAAGCAGGAAGTCAATTATAGCTATTCGAATTGTTCTTTGTTTCTTTTCTTTACATTGATCAACTATGTAGGCAAAAGAGGCTCCCAGAAGTGTGGTGTAATTGCCACAAAGTGCAACCAAAAAGGTAGATGCAATCAAAAGCTGGATTGGAAAGGCAAAATAGGAAAGCAAACAGAGCCAAGCACTGTTTGCAAGAGCACCAACAGAAGACAAAATCAAAGGGAATTTTCGTCCTCCGTGGTCACTATGAGACAGAAGCATGAATGTAGACACGAGACCAGGAATTAACCCACTTATGTCCATCTGCAGATTAAAAAGAGACACTTTTTTCTGAACTTCCTGCAAATAAATAAAAAGAAGACAAAGTGTTTACAGAGGCTTATACAATATGCCTAAAAATACCCTGGTACATACTTTTTCTTGATATTGCCAGTAGGTCAGGGATGGGGAATCTCTAGTGCATGGGTTTGATATAGCTTAAATCTTCATCCAGTTCACAAGGCAAATATCAAGAGGTGATACAATCATCAATGCTCAGTCACAATATTCAGGTACCACAGTGGAGACATTAATCCGTAAAAATAGAAGTGTGTGTATTGGTGTATGTCTGACTTACATAGAGGATCCGCAGAACCCAAGGCCTCAGGGACTGGTTATGTAGTGACTTCTCCTTCTTCTGTGAACAGTTAGCACTAAGGGATCATGACCATTGTTCTGAAGCAAGAACGGTACCCTTTCCCAGGATACACCTTTCTGTCTAAAGGGGAATGAATATCACATGTAAACATCGTATCTGATAGGCCTTTATCTAGATAGAGCTCAGTTGTCCTTTTCACGTGTCTCCACAAATATTCCTTTATTTACTAAAAATTAAGATAAAACTCGAAGAGGAGCTTTGTATTGACTAAAGATGGTAGCATGCCATGAACTAAGGAGTGAGCTAAACTCAACTTTCCTGAGGCCCAAAACAACTACGTACACGTGGATTGGCAGATGTAACAATCGTGACACTAGGTATATGATGGGAAGAACTTGGGGTGATTTAAAAGCATTTTCTTCTCACCACTTTTCTGTATTTTCCAAACTTTATATTAAAGGATATGTGCCGTTTCTATAATGGAGATTACTAAACTCATTTTAAAGAAGATTTATTCATGTAATATTTAGAAAGCACCCTAAAAACCACAAAACTATGATTAACCACAGAAATATCAGATACTGAATTAATGGCTTTTTAAAATAGTGAGCCTATTTTTATTTTTATGTATTTATATAATTCAAGCCATTCCATGTTGCCAGGAGATGTTCTGGTCACTCAAACCCCAAACTTCAGTCATCTTTGCTTCTAGCCTTTCCCTTCGTCCATGCCCCCCAACACAATCTATCCTGTCCCGCTAAAGTTGCTCACTTTACCTTCTTGATGGTCCCATAGTTGCCACTTGGTTTTCACCTGGACCATTGGTTTTCACCTGGACCACCCTGGCATCTAACTGGTCTCTTCATTCAATTCAGAATATAATGTCAATCTTACCACTTTGCAGATCACAGACACTACTGCTGGGCACATGTTGCATAGCACCACAGCATACTATCGGCATGTCTCTCACCTGCTCAGAAGCTGCAGTGTCTCCCCACTGCCTGGGAAAGTCCACACTCCTTAGCCTGGTATTTAAGGCCCCCGAGACGTGGCCTGATCTCATCTTCAGCGTTATCCCCACTCTCCCCGCAGATACGGTCTATGCTCCAGGCACAGTCCATAGTCAGGTCCCACCTAGATTTCCCTGAAATTCTCAAACAGGGGTCATCACTCCTTTTTCTGAACCTTCTCGTAGAACAGTTATCATTCCCCAGCTGTATTTTTTTGTGTATTGATTAAGAGCTTGAGCTCTGGAGTCAGAGGAATCTGGATTCAAATACAGTCAGTTCTGTACACCACCGTTTGAGTGGTCTTTAAAAACACACATCAGCTCGTGTCACTCCTCTGCCAACCCCCCAGTGGCTTTCCTTACACTGGAATAAATGCAAACTCCTTGCCACGGCGAGGGGCGACCCCACGTCACGGAGCCTCTGATTCATCTCCCCTTCCTCACTCCTCTCGGCCGACAAGCCATCCCACAAACCTCCATGCTACTTGCTGTTCCCTCTGCCTGATCGTTGCACAGCTCACTTCCTCAGTTCAAAACCACTTCCTCAGAAGGGCCTTCCCTGACCGTCACTCAATCCAAAGCAACCCACTAATCCCGCCCAGCGCTCCAGCCCCTTATCCTTGTTGTTCTTCTCCTTAGAGACTCACCGGCTCCTTGACAGGAAATTATATTTTATTCGATCTGTGCATTGTGTGACTTCCCTCCTACAATCTAAGCTCCCGGCTGGGGTGAAACCTTGTCCTCTTCACCATAGTATCACCAGCTCCAAGAACAGCGCTTCCAGGGAGGGTAGGTACTCAATAGACAGATTGATTAACTGAACAAACCATCGAGTAAAATAGGCCTCTGTAGCTTGCATGCTCTGTGTGATCCTGACCAAATGACTTGTCTCTGTAGCTTCTTCATCTGACCAGAGGGAATGTCAACAGTCCCAATCTTGCAGGCTGTCAGGAGACTTAAAATTAAAGTCAATATAAGGTGCTCCACACAGGGCCCTCATACAGTCAGTGCTGTTTCATTTTTACTAGGTTAGATCTTTTGAGCACATCTTTGTATCTCCTACAGATACAGAAGCCATCAAGTAAATATTTATTGAATAAACAAATAAATGAAAGTTATCGTTTAATCAACTCCTCAGCAAGATGTTCCAGTCTGGGGTTCCTCCTCCCATTTCCACGTCTCCGCCTAAGTCCTGTCCCCTCCTTTTTTCCTACTGTCATCCCAACCCAGTCTGTTACACAGACTACTCACCTCATCTGCAAACCATGTTGTGAAATTCAGATCTTAACAAACTCAAAGCATATTTCAACCATAAATCAATGTTGAGACAGAAGAAATTGTGTTTGAACATTATAAACTCTGGAGAATTTTGTGTTACGTGTTATAGTAGGGTAGATGGGAGAAATCAGAGTAAAAAAAAAAAGCTATTTCCTATACAAGATTGAACAGAATGACAAGGTACTGAGACGGGGATAAACTAAGGAAAGTGCTATCAATTTTAAGGAAGGCACAATTTCATAGGCTAAAATGCATATATTCCAGTTGAGCAGAAGGTATTCCTTACCTGCTGGTAACCAGGGATTGTGTTATTAAAAGGTTTATAAATAAATTCCTGAGCGAGAACAACTTCGTGATCTGTTGGGTGACCCGAAGTTGTCCCCTCCAGCGGCAGAGTCCCTATCTTGAAAGCTGCCTGAAGAGAACAGGCCACAGTGGCCGGTGTAACACTTCAAAACCAATCATTTACAAGGGAAGGAGAGGGCGGTAAGGGGCTTAAAAATTCCTTCCTCCACAAAAGTCAATAGACATCCCAGAATTCCCTACTCTCTGCCCTTTGCCAAGAGTTTCCTTCCACAGCCTTGCCACTTTGTTAAGAGGCCTTTTAGAGATTAATCTCATCGCCCAAGAGAAGTATGTAGTTGTACTTACAGTCACGGGGCTCAGAAAACTTGAAGATTTGAAAGATAGGTTAGATCCATATCCATATGAATATATATGTTATATATACCTTAACCCCAGATAGATTGAAAAGTATGACTTTCATCCAAATAGACTTTCAAAATGTTAAATATAAGTGAAATCGCTCCGCTTATTCTTCTATTTGTACCCTGAAATTCATGACACCATCTTGCATACCAATACGTATGTAAGTGTGTATATTTGTTACGTGGGAAGGTTAAATACAAACAGCGTAACAGAGGTTCAACACGTTGTGTTCTTACACACAACTGACCTTTCGGGAGAGATCTGAGAAAAATCTGAGCTGAAAAAATCATTTATTTATTTTATCAGGGGCTGACCCTGTACTATGACATCTCTTATTTTTAGGGTTACAAGAACAGTCCACAGATCTCTAAGTGGAAGCTCACAGAACAGGGAACATTTGTTCTCGGATTTAAAGGGGGCAGAACATTCTCTGAGAAGCTGAGCAGGGACAGGATCCAGGGAAGGGGTCAGAAGGAGGTGTTCCTCTGTCCTAAGGAGCGAGTGGTGAGTGGGTCGCCACGCCCTGTCCCAGTTGTGGGTGGGGTGGTTTCTGGTTCCCCAATCTTAGAAGAAGCACCTATAGCTCTAGCGCACCGACTGTAAGGCAAGGATCTAGGGCGGTATGTTCTCTTGAACATTAATCCAGTGAAACAGCAGTCGATCGATCAAAAAATTTGGCAGAAATCTTCAAAATGAGACCCCTGCTCTGGGCAGTGGGGGGCTTTCAGCAGCTGGGTTAGGCAGGGAGCGGGGCCAACACTCATCACCTGCACAGTCACAGAGGTCACCAAAGCAGCTGGACCAAGGCCCGTCTCCCGTCACTCTAGAGGGTGAGGACAGCCGACCTTTCCAGACACTCAAGTCCTCTCCTCTGTCCCTCCCACTGCTCCCAGGGGGCTGGTGAAGGAACTCAACCGTACGAAATGGAGAAACTGATGAACCTCTGGAACCTTCTTACTCCCTGGAGATATATACATGTAACAGGAAACATTCTTAAAGGGAGACAAAACCAAGAGGAAAGCCCCTTGTTGGCCCTTCTGTTTTTATGACCTCACTCTAGGCCAGAACCTTGATATCTGCATGGCTGTTCAGAAATAATCTGTTCTTTTCTCCATGGGTGCAGATGACTCAGAGTCCCTTAGACTCTTCATCTTTTGACTGGGGAAGCAGCACCACTCTTTTGCCATCATAAAATATTCCCAAGGGGAAGAGTTCAAAGTTTACAAGTGTGGTTGTTTTTCAGGCATGGCGGGCGGTGGGGGGGGGGATTTCCAAATCTGGATGCTCTCTCTGCTTTGCATTTGGACACTGGTAGACTGGTAAAGACTGCCTAAGGGAATGGAGACTGGCGCCGTACCTCCTGGGGGAGGAGGCTGGACCTGGGGAAGGAAGGGCTCTGGAGTATCTGGCTGAACATTTTCAGTGTCCTCAGAGCGCAAGTGGGTGCTCCCCACCCCCCATATCCTCACACAGATGCTCCTCAGCACTGGGGGGTCAAACTGATTTGATAACACCGAATGATGGATGACGAATGCCACCCTCACCCCATGACAGACCCTGGCGCCAGGCCCACAGTCTTCAGGGATGGTCCACTTTCTGGGGTCACTGAAAACTGGGTCATGCCCGTGAAGCGGAAGCGGGTAGGGAGGAAGTGGGCAAGGGAAAGGCAGGACCCATGCTTCACCCGACCCCGGGCCACCAAGTACCATTCCAGCCTGCCCTGTCCCAACTGTCAGGCTTTCCGTGGGGAAGAAGAAAGGAGACAACTACGGAGGAGATGAGACTGCCCTGACATTTTCTGAGACAAAGGAGAAGAGCCAGTGTCACAGAAGAAGGGGGTTTTAAGTAGAAGAGGCAGATTAAAGGTGTCAGGAAGCTTCAGACAGAAAGGAGAATAAAGGCTTTTGGCTTGGGACTTAGGGGTTTTCGTGTGACCCTTAAGAGATCAATGTATGAGGAGTGCAGGATCCTCTTTCCTTTAAAATCCTGTTGCACATTCCCTTTTTAATACATGTTAGGAATATTTCAATTTCTTACCTCCTGGAATGTGAAAATTGGGCTGCTTTTGTTTTTTGCACACTCAGAAACATTGCTATCGGGTGCAATGCTGTAGTTGCCTGTTTCCTCCCATATTCTCCTGTACACGTATTGTGTTGTCAGTGGAGCAGTCAAAGTCATAGCAAATACACTAAAGCAGATGGCAGGTTCCACAAATGGAATCTTCATCTTGCTTGGGTAGGTAGCTGAAATTCTATTAAGAAGAAAAGGAGAGAGATAATCAGTTGCACTCTTATCTGAGAGGCTAGATTTTCAATGATGGGGAAGTTGGGGGAACTTTGTGGAGTAAACAAGCAAACTAGGGAACAGAAAGCAGTAAGCACTTCCTAAGACAACAACAACCTCAGACTGTCATACTTACCATTTTTAAGAGCTGGACCTTTAAGGACTCAACCCGCCCTTGAGATGATTCTTTAAGATAGTCTTAATAAGCTGTCTACCACTTTGGCTATCCAGTGGTCACACTACAATTCCCACACTGAATACTGCCAGCTGGTTTTCATAAGGGAAACAGTGAGGTTGCTCTGGGGACGAGACAATTACGTAATTGTTTATTATTGATTTTGCTGCTTGTGAACAGCGGACAGGAAGGGGGCCTTTAAAAAGCAGCTTCCAATCGTAAGGGTTTGTTTATGTTGTTTTAACTCACCCCACGGTCACAGTCTTCCTGCCGATCTAGGCGCGGGTCTGACCGTTTTCGGGGCCGGAGTCTCGGGGGCTGTCTCTTTTCAGGGGCTCCTGGGCAGCAAGTGCGCACGGAGGCTGGGTCTGCGCCGCCGCGCTGGGATGGGAAGGGGAATTGCCGCTGAATTCGACCAGATGCACAGGTCGGGAGACCGCAAGCCTGATTTTAAAGCAAAACAGGAGAGGGCACTTCCGCGTCCAGAGTGACAACGGTGACAGTTCACCGCGCAGCCCTCGCTCAGCTCCTGAGTGGCCCTGCGGGCTCCGCCCGGCGCGCTCCCGCGGGGCCCGCGCGCCGGGCAGCTGCTCCCTGACCCGTCGGCGGGCTGTCGCTGGGTCCGCGGCCCGGCCTGCGCTCGCTATGACTCAGCTGCGCCAGCCGAGCATCGCCTCCGGCCCAGGAGACGGGCCTCGGGGGTGCTGGTCCCCCGCCGCCTGGGCGGTCGCTGTCCTGCTTTCCTGCGACTGGGCCCCTTGGCCGGCACCCCCGCGGGGATTGGCCCGCTCCGACGTCGCTCCCGAGCGCCCGCCCCCGGAGGCCCCAGTGAGGCCGCCGCAGCCTGCAGCCCCGGGGTTCGTGCAAGGACTCTGAGATTAGAGAGCTTTTCTGGGTCCGAGTATCACTTCTCACGGAAGCACACAGGAGATTTGTTGCAGAAGTAACATTTTGGGATGCAGGCCACTGAAGCATCCGTGCGGGCCAGGCAAGTGCTCTGAGAAACGCAGAAGAGGGGGACCGGGTAGGGACGCCCGTGGAGGGTGCGGGAGAGAGAGTGCTTCTGGCAGGGTTAGCCGGGGTCTGGAATGTGGTCGCTGGCTCTTCTTGGTGATGCAACCTTGGGCTAATTACTTCATCGCTATGAACGTCCATTTCTTTATCTGTCAGGTGGTCATTAACAGCCTTACCGGATCATTGTGATGAAACCCTCGAGGTGTGCATACAGCGCATCCCCGGGGCAAAGGAGGGACAGTACATCCCCCCAGCAAGCCCACCAGGAACGCACCTGAAGATGAACGAGCTGGATTTACTACTTCTTGTAAGGGGGAGGAATGCATTCACAGGGAACCACGGGATCAAAAGCTATATTTTCCAGGGCAGAGGTCTCCAGGAGAATTTTGAAATTTTATGTTTTCAGTTTAATGACCTAGAGATTTTAACGTAAGCATATTCTGAATTGTCTTGTAATCAAGTACCGGCACTTGATGTCACCTGTATTTGTATCTCCACTTATGATCACATTGGCTCCAGGTAGAAGTACTTTAGCAATGTCAGAGAAAAGAGGTGGACTAAATATATAAACGATACACCCAAGCTAAATGAAGACCACGGATGTCATATCATGTTCAAAACGTTTTCATAGTATTCCAGTAAAACGTGTGGGAGAATTGAGTTACCACCTGACACATGAATAGACATACTGATCTCAAAAGAACCTGTGCTGTACCAGGCAGTGCTATATTCGAGTGGCAAAACCAAAACAGAATATAGTAGCTACTAGATTTTGTTAGTTTCAAGAAGAAATGGCCTTTAAGCTTCTGATAAAATCAGCAAAGTAAGATGTGGTGAAAAGATCTTAGTTACACTAAGCAATGACTGCTAAGTAGGTGATTGTCAATGCTGTGCTCATAAGAGTTTAATCATACAACTCCAAGCACAAGTTGTTGAAAGACAATATAATCTGATCATATGACCTTGGTCAATAATATGCCAAAACAGACCTGGATAGGTCTTATCTACCTGAGAAATTCATAACCTAACTTCAATGCTTGTCTTTCTTGACCTCTGTTGCCTTGGATGCCATTGAACAAATTCCTCCTTCTTGAAATATTATCTCTCTTTGGGTTCCATGACACAACTCGATCTTTCTGTCACCCTGAGAGCGCCTTAGCTTCCTCAGTGGGCTTGCTTCTCCAAGGGTACTGTTTCTCAGGTTCCGTCCCAGCTCCTCTTCTGCCCTGTCTGTCACATCCACACTTGTGATCAACCACCAGTATACCCATCACTCCCAAATCTCAAGCTCACCCAGTTCTCTTGAACTTGACACCCAGAGCTTCCACCCGAGTATTTTAAAAAAACACTGCACACTTTAAAATGTCCAAAACATATACCATCTTCCTTATAAATCCAATTCCCTCCTGAAAACCCTGTTTCAACTAATGACATCACCTGTCCAGTCAGCAAAGTCAGAGACCTGGGAATCATAACTGGCTTATTTTTGGCTGCGTTGGGTCTTTGTTGCTGCCTGCCGGCTTTCTCTAGTTGCGGAGAGCAGGGGCTACTCTTCGTCGCGGTGCGCGGGCTTCTCCTTGTGGTGGCTTCTCTTGTTGTGGAGCACAGGCTCTAGGCACGCGGGCTTCAAGAGTTGTGGCACACGGGCTTAGTAGTTGTGGCTCGCGGGCTCTAGAGCGTAGCCTCAGTAGTTGTGGTGCATGGGATTAGTAGCTGTGGTGAACCTGTGGCATGTGAGATCTTCCCGGACCAGGGCTCAAACCCGTGTCCCCTGGCAGGCAGATTCTTAACCACTGTGCCACCAGGGAAGTCCTGTACCTGGCTTTTTGATCACCAAATGCTGTAGCTTTTATGTCATAAACATAACTGGTATGATTTATACCTCTTTTAGGTGTGTGGCTATAAGGCAAGTGGGCCCCTGGATCCAGAGCATTTGGGCTGAGGGCAGTTTTTCGGCTTGTCCGAGGTTGGGGCTTTGTCTCGCCATCAGCCCACTGGTGAATGGAATCTGAAGGTTGCTGGGGAGGAGGTGGGCAAATCTGCAAAGAGCCCAGGGAGTTCCCCGGTAAAGAGTCAGAAATCCTGCCTCTTCCCCTTTGGGGTTTCAAGTTATTCTAACACTTGTGATGTGTTGGGACGGTCCTAGTAAGCCGAGTGGTGAGAAATGTACAATAATGGCCCTCAAGAATGTGTCCACCACGCTGCCGGTGCTGGTGCTGCTGGGGGTGCAGTAAAAGAGCGGGGCTGGTACGGCAGGCCCAGCACCAGGGCCTTTCCTGTCTCAGGGGAAGGCCAGTCAGGAACAGGGGAATGATGTTGCACCCTGTCCTCATCTGCCGCCTTGGGCCTTGGGGTTCCTTAAGAGAAATAACTGATTTTCTGTAAATAAAAATATCTGTCTCTAAAGTTGTACTGGGAACCCAGCCTGCAATAGTGTGGGGTAACCGTTGCTAGCCTGGGTTCTCCTCCCTCCCTGCAATCTGTGCCACACTGTCTCAGTGGGTAGACTCTGAACCCTTACACCCGAGAGCCGGACTTCCTGTTTTCTGTGTCAGCCTCACCAGAGCAGCAGTTGGAAGCTTAAGCAGTCACACCAGACTTCTCAATTTCTTTTCTCCACAACAGAAATATTAAACCAGACTGACTCACCTGGATGAAGTAAGCACCTTGAGGGGGTCTTAATTTGCAAGGAGGGGAAAACTCAGAGAATGATGAATGGACTTCTCTCAGTCAGGATGGAAGCTCAAATTTGATTTATTTGTGTAGTAACTTAAACGTGGCTTCATTTTCCACCACAGCAGGTGACATAGGATATATGTGAAAGCTCCTGGAACAGGGCCTGACACTTGGTGGGTATTCAGTAATTTTTGGATTGGAAGCTAAATCGTGCTTAATTAGACACACGTACTGCTGTGTTTGAGCAGTTACAGAGAAGAACCTGACCTCTGCTTCAATTTGGCCTTTCCTTTTTTGATCCCACAGAGCGATCACTTTCCTCCTTAAGAGGAGTCAGTCCCCTTTTTACTGGGCTATGGGAGTAGGGAAGGATTTAAAGTCAGCAGAGTACGTGAAATTCAGGCACAAGTGACTCCATAATATAGGCCACGTTTAGAGGATTAGTCCTCTGCCTTCCATCCCCAGCTCCTTAGAAAGGCCATTAAACTATATTTTTACAGAATATTTAGTTACATGGAAAAATTTCCATGCTATGACAGTAAGTAAAAAAAAAAAAAAAAAGGAAATAAAAAGTATATCGTATATCCCAATTTTGTTAAAAATACATACTTTTTTGTTAAAAATACAAAAAAAGTATACATATGAATGTGTAGAAAAAAGGCCATAAAGTAATGTATCAAATTTTAATAACAATTATCTCTGAGTGGTCGGATTACTAACAATTTTTGTGTTATTAAATACCATAGACAGTATAATTTTCTGTATTCTCCACATTTTCAGCAATAAACATGTATTAATTTATAATCAGAAAAATGTTTATTTAAAAAGAAATGAGAAAAGGAATTGATAAAACAATTTCTTGTAAAATCATTATATTTGTTACAAAGCTTCAGGAAAAAAGCCCCAAAGGTTGATTCTTTTCCAAGTGGTTCTACAAACTTTAAAGTTGAATCAGCAGCCACATGGCAAACTGACATTCTTGGACTGTGA